AACTCAACTAACTACTCTACTAATAATAGGCCCAAACTAAAACATAACATTAACTTAATAATAATAATAATTAAACTATAACGACAGCCCTAACTCGACCCACGGAAGTGAGCCCAAGCCCGGTCCCGCCCCATGCTCTTCCCGCTCTCTATCAGAAACACACCCGTCATCCTTACCCCCTAAAGAATCTAAACGTGTCAGTACTTTATTTTAGTTAATTCATTCAGATGTCTGGGGACCTTGTCCAGTTACTTCAATAAATGGTTTTAAATACTTTATTACGTTTGTTGATGATTATTCCCGTCAACTTGGGTTTACTTGTTTAAATCAAGAAATGAAATATCTGCCATATTCCGTGAATTTTATGCATATGTTAAAACCCAATTTGATAGTTGTATAAAAACACTTCGATCTGATAATGCAAAAGAGTATTTCTCTTCTGATTTCACATGTTTTTTATCCGAGCATGGTATTATACATGAATCATCATGTCCGTACACACCCCAACAGAATGGCATTGCTGGACGTAAAAACCGTCATTTGTTGGATGCTGCTCGCACTATGATGATTCATTATAATGTGCCCCAACGTTTCTGGGCTGACACGGTCCTCACAGCAAATTACCTAATCAACCGCATGCCATCCTCTGTTCTTTCTGGGAAAATATCGTTTTCTCTTCTATTTCCCAAAGGCACCCCCTTTCCTTTGCCTCCTAAGATCTTTGGTTGTGTATGTTATGTCCATGATCACCGTCCAGGACATAACAAACTTTATCCACGAGCCATCAAGTGTGTCTTTCTAGGGTACTCACGAGTCCAAAAAGGTTATCGTTGTTATTGTCCAACCCTTTGTCGATATTTTACTAGTGCTGATGTTACTTTCCAGTTTCCACGAGTCACGTTCATTCTTTGATAGCACCACTAACTCTCTCGAGTAATCATATATATTCCCAGATCATTCTGAAACTGTAGATCCTCTGGTCTATATCACCCCTATACAAAAATCACACAACTCGTCTTCCACTTTACCATTAGATACAGATACTCGATTCACAAAAGTGTATACCAGGCAGCGAAGGAAAGCAACACAGAACCAAGAGAACTCAACCCTGTGCCATGAAACCGGAAACTCTCCTGTTCCAGTTTCATGGCAGCTGTATATATGGTCAATCAAAGTAGATTATGTTAGAGATCTGTTACAGCAGTATATATGCATAATTAATGTAGATTCTAGTCATTAAATATAGAATATACACTTTCCTAGATTAGCTATTATACTCCTGTATATATTCAGCATTCTTTGTTTATTTGAAATATAGAAAGCATTTCCATACTTCTCTATCTACAACGTCTAACTGCCTGAAACAGTTTCCGCGCAAAAGCAGCCAACCTCTACCTTGACTCATTTACCCATTTTATAGATCTACTCCTTTCTACTCGTCTGACATTGGCACCAACCAGATTATAAAAAACAGCAGTCCATGGCAACTATATCCAGTATGTCCGCCGCCCATACTCGCCGCCACCGCCGCGTCGTTGCTTGTACTCGCCGCCGCCGCCGACCAGTTCTGTTATTCTGCTGCTCTGCCACTTCTGCTCCAAGGACATGGCTTATATCCAATAGTCTTGGACTCTTGGGGAGTTGTTTACTGCTTCCCTACGTGCAAAATTAAAATTTAAATTTCTGCTGCACTACTTAAACAAAGAAAAGAAAAAAATGTCTTCTAGTTTTTCTTCATTTGCTTCGAGGCCTGACAGAGGCACCAGTAAAGGATACCCATGAAGAAACCATCCTAAATGTAACTTTTGTCATAAGATTGATTGTTATATAAAAACAGGTGTTGGAAGTTACATGGGAAACCTCTCCAATATTGCTCAAATCCCGCCATCTCCGATTGTTCTATCTCCAACCGAATATGCAACATATTAGAAATTTAAGTCGATTAATATGCCTTTATTTACACTTGGTACATCTACTGCTTGTGTTTCAAACATCACAGGTTCATAGATCATTGACTCAAGTGCTTCAGATCATATTTTTGGTAATCCCCGTCTTTTATCCTGTATTACCAAGGATCAACACCTTCCTTTGATTACTCTCGCTCATGGCTTTCAAAACTCAGCCAAGAGTATTGGGCAAACACTTCCACTTTCATCTTTACCATTAGACTCAGTCTTATATATTCCTAATAGCCCCGTTAATCTTGTCTCTGTTAGAAAATTACACGTGCTCTTACTTGTTCTATTATGTTTTGACGTTTTCTACTGATTCTATGATTGTACAGGACCATTGTACGAGGAAGATGATTGGCGTCATACATGAATCTCGTGGCTTGTATAATCTCCATCCTCTTGATCTAATCGCTTGTGTCTCGATTGAACCTGTAATTACCTTACATAATCGTTTGGGTTATCCTAGTCCCCAGGTCAATAAGTGCTTGTGTCTCATGTCAACAAACGTGCTGCGTGCCCATTTGGTTTAGTTCATACAAATGTATGAGGTACTTATCTAGTCACTTCTACTTTAAGATTTCCATTTTCTGCTATATTTGTGGATGATTTTTCATTATATTCGGTTGATACCCTCCTAATGTTTGGACTTCACGTCACATCTCTGACCAATCCTTTCAAATACTCCTATTTCCTCCACATCTGATTAGAAACCAAACTCTCCTTTTATGGAAGATTGTCCATTACAAGTACACCATCTATGTCCTCATCCTCCTTCCATTGAGCCAATTGTGGCCACACCTCATGATTCCCTACCTTTAGCACTTGAACCTATTGAGGATAATTTGCCCATTGCCCTCTGAAAAGGTACGATTTCTACTTTGAATCCACATCTCATATACAACCTTTTGAGTTATCACCACCTCTTTACCCCTTTGCTTTCATTTCACACCTATCTCGTATCTCTATTACTAAACCAAGTCATGAGGCACTGACACATCCGAAATGGCGTAAAGCCATGTGGGCTGAGATGGGGGCTCTTCATTCTAGTGGGATGTGGGATTTAGTTTCGCATTGACAAGTCAGTTGTTGGATGTCGGTGGATATACACGGTTAAAGATGGCCTTATTGGTAAAATTGGTTGTTTTATAGCAGATCTATGGTTAGATTACATAGACACCTTTTCTCCCATCGCTAAGATTGCATATGTTCATTTGATTTTATCCATGGAAGCAATGAGTCAGTGACCCTTGTTCGAGTTTGATATTCAAAATGCATTTCTTCATAGTGATCTGCACGAGGCGATTTATACGGAGGAACCGCCTGACTTTGTAGTTCAGGGGGAGTCAAGTTTGGTTTATAGATTACGTCGTTTGTGGATTTGGCATGGTTTGAAGTGATGTTGATCATTCCATATTCTATAGACATTCTGCTGACATTAAATGTATTTAACTTGTTGTGTATGTTGATGATATTGTCATTACAGGTAGTGATGGACAATGACTTACACTCTTCAAGCAATATCTTTTTAGCGAATTCCAAACAAAAGACTTAGGAAAGTTAAAGTCGCACAGTCTCAAATGGAATTGCCTTCTTTCAAAGAAAATATGCTTTGGACATTCTTGAGAAAACAAGTATGTTAGAGTGTAGACCAGTGGATACACCAATGGATCCAGACGTCAAACTCTTGTGAGAGAAAGGAGGCCCTTTGCCCAACAAAGGAAAATATAGAAGGCCCATTGGCAAATTAAATTACCTTAACATCACTAGACCATATATTTCATTTGCGGTAAATGTTCTTAGTCAATTTCTTGTTAAACCATGTAATAGACATTGAGATTCAGCTTTTCGAGTCTTGAGATACATCAAGAAAACACCAGGGTAAGGGTTGCTATTCGAAGACCGAGGTCACCGTGATATTGTGGGATACTGTGATGCGGATTGGGCAGGATGTCCGATGGATAGACTTTCTACTTCGAGATATTGCATCTTGATCGGTGGAAATCTAATGTCTTGGAAGAGTAAGAAACAAGATGTGGTTGCCAGAGGCACTGTTGAAGCCGAGTACCGTGCGATGGCCCTTAGTAGATGTGAAATCTTATGACTGAAGCACAAAACCCGTTCAATTATTGTTTGACAATCAAGCTGCAATGTACATTGCATCAAATCTTATATATCATGAGGGGACTAAACACACTGAAGTTGATTGCCTTTTTATTCGAGGAAAGATCACGGTTGGACATATTTTCACAAATTATGTCAACACAACTGATCAACTTGCAGATGTTTTAACTAAGTCTCTTAGAGATTTCAGAGTGGAGTATATTTGTAAGAAGCTTGGTGCATATGATTTATATGTCCCAACTTGAGGGGTGTGTGAAAATCAGAGTTGTATTGGGCTTGTCCCATTTAAGTATAGAAACCCTAATGCTATAATGTTGCTATAAATAGAGTTACTTGTATATCATTTTATTATCAACTATAATCAACTAGAATACCAGATATCAGTGAGGCGCGCCACATTGCGGGATTCTATTGCACAATTTTGAACCTTGATGGGCATAGAACATAATTTATGGGTAGTGATAGAAAGTAAAATTGAGCTTCCAGAATCCTTATTTACTGTCTTTGGACTGATTTTGGTGGAACGTGTATCATTGAATACTTGATGATTTATTCGTACGAAATACGCACAAAAAACTTTGGAGCTCCAGTTCCAATTTCTAAGGAATTGAATAACTTACGAATTGAAGGTTACTCGGTTACTACAGGGAGTTATTGCCAGTTTGGCAGAGACTGCCAGCTCCAATATCATATTTAGGAACGTAAATGCATTACTCTAGTTTTGCTGAGTTTGTTCATTTCTTTATTCTTGTCACCTGTGGTAATTTCTGTTGTACCTATTATTTGAGCGCACTGTGATCTTTTTACTTGCACATTCATCCATTTAATGATGGGTTTAAGTGTTTGTGAAGCTGTCAACACGGAGTTAAAACTTAAGTATTATTAGCACTTAGTTGCTTGAAGTATTTAACTCTGATACTGCTGTAGCTATGGGTTGGCCATGGAAGTAGAGCTGCAAAAGAGAAGACGTTTTTTGACAGTCACCTAGCTCCATTTTACAGAATCGAACAGGTTATATATTTGAATAATTTTCTTCTTACTTTTTAATATTGTCTTAACCTGCTGATTATATTTTTGTCACTGTACGTATATTTTATTTGAGTTGTGGACTTGTGGTAAGCCATTTTGTAACTGTATTTTCGTTTCAAAGTTTCTAAGCCTAGTGTTTCCCCTATTTCTTGTCAATGAGAGTGCATTTATCATTTTCTTATCAGGCATTTAATACTACATTTGATTATTGAATAGACAGGCTAACACCATACCAATATTGCAGCTCATAATAGCAACCAATCCCGATGCAGAGAGTGGAAAACGTCCAACTATCATCACACAAGAAAACATCTTGTTACTTTTTGATATACAAAACAAGGTATTTATATGTTGTTTTGTTTCCCTTTAAATGTGTCTATTTACAGCCATACACCCATACATTAAGAAAGGGTTATATTATGATACAAACACCACACCAGGTTAGCTCCTTGATCTCCAACTCTCTTGCTAGGTGAGCCTTTAGCAGTTCAGCCTGTCCATTTCAACCTTATAATCCCTAGTCATAATAATATTATCAACATATACTATAAGTATAGCGATTTTACTAGAGTCTATCCTCTTTGTAAACAATGTCTGGTCTGTTTGACATTGCCTAAACCCTTGCCTAAGGACCGATCTTGTAAATCTATCAAACCACACTCTATTCGACTGCTTTAGCCCGTACAAAGACTTCTTGAGTTCACAAACTTGGCCAGATTTCACCAAGTCTTCCAGTCCTGGTGGTATTTCCATGAATACTTCCTCTTCTAGGTCTTCATTAAGAAAAGCATTCTTAACATTTAGTTGATGTAACGGCTAGTCTAGGTTTACTGCAAGTGATAGAAACAATTTAATGGTGTTCAACTTTGCCACTAGGGCAAAGTTTGGTTTAAGGGCGTGCAAAGACGCGAGGCGCCCTAAGGCGATCACTTTATCGCATCTTCCACCCCCAGGCGGTGTAGGTTCCAAGAGGCGCGCCTTATACGGCGCTTTTTGACGCATTATGCGCCTCTGAGAGCCACACGCTTCTCACGCCTCATGGATGTCTCTTTTGGCGATTGAGTCTCTAGTCTTCTCCCTTCTTCCTTCTGTGTTTGGTTTGCTTCCGAGTTCCCACATCCGCGGTCCTGTTTCTTGCTCGCGTAGCAGGACTCGCAAGTCTGTTTCTTCTGCTACTTTCTCGCGTCACGGAGTAGTCGTAGACTCGCAGGTAAGTATTTATTTCTTCTCTTCTACAGTTTGTTCTCTTATACGTGTGATAGTTTATTAATTAAGTATGTATTATTTTATATTTTATTACCTTGAAATTGTAGTGTTACTACCTCTGTTGGTCTGTTCTAGATCATGCTGAGTAGGGTACCCAAATATTTGATTTTATTTAACAAATATATAAGACATTTTTTATTATTAACAATTTTTTATATAACATCTTATTAATTATGTTTTCAAATTTCAAGATTGAGTTTTGTGACTTGACTCTTGCCAATGATGCCGTTTGATATTTATTTCTTGCTACTGTCTTAATAAATATTTGGTTTCTCTTATGATGTATGTTAAGATTGTTTAATAGTTTGAAGTATTTTTGTGATGTTATCATTTTTTGGGATGAGTGCTTCATGTAGAAGACTAGAAATAGTATAATATATATCTTACCAAAGATATGATGTTAAGATCCGTGAGGCGCGCGCCTCGGGTAAATCAATGAAAACGCCTCGTGCCGCCTCGCGCCTTTTAAAACTAAGGTCCAAAGGTCTCTGAATAATCAAGGCTATAAGCTTGGGTGAACCCCTTAGCAACTAGCCTTGCCTTCAGCCTTAATTTTTTCCATCAGACTGATATTCTTTTCTTCAATGCTGCTAATTCTTCATAGACAGCCTTCCTCCATCCTGGATGTTCAAGAGCTTCATTGATGTTACTAGGAATCTGATTATTATCAAACATTGAAATAAAAGCTTGATAGTTGGCTGATAGTTTCGTATACCACACAAAATTATAGATAGGATGTTCTGTACACTTCCTTACTCCCTTTCTGATAGCAACAAAGAAGTCTTGTTCCTCATCTCCTCCTGCAACCTCAACTTCTCCTTCATGAGGATTCAGATTTGAGTCAGATAATTGGATGGTGTCAATTGGAGTGATGTGCTCTTTTTCAGGAACTTTGATTCCAGGTTTCCTCTTGTTTGTGTTCTTGTAGAATGGAGAATTTTGGTTTGGTGTAGGGTTTTGTGGTGATGAAGTTGGTGGCTGAGATGGTGAGGTTGGGGGAGAGGCTGTACTTTCTGGAGGTATTGATTCAATATTTTCTCAAAGTATTGGTTCAGTGGGTTCTGGAAGTGAGACTATGACTAGTATAGGTTCTTGAAGGGCTGTGTGAAAGACATTGCTTTATAGAATATTCTATAATGTCTTTCACATTATAGAATATTCTTTAGAATATGTTTTAGAATATTCTTCTATCTTTAGAATATGCTTTAGAATATTTTAGGAATATACTCTAGGATATTATTATTGTATAGAATCTTAAAGGAATATTCTATCTTTGTAATGTATATATATATGGGCTTGACCCTCCAATGAAAGACACACAAAAATCATTCTTCCCATTACTATTCTATCTTTAATTCTTACAACATGGTATCAGAGCTTACTGTTCCAGTTTAGCTTAGCAGTATTTTTCAGAATCTCAGTTCATGCCTCAGCCAGAACCTTAGCCCAAAATTCAGAACCTCAGTCCAAAATCCACAGTTTCACCTCCACCCTAAGCAGTCACGCCTTCCGCCGCCGACCTTACACTCGAAATCCGCAGGCCACACGCGCCGTCAGAGGACCTCGCAGACCTAATCGCAGACCCAATCGCCGGAGAATCCATCGGAACTATTTTCCGGTGTCTTGAACGGTATTATCTTTCTGTGACTTTGCTTATTAAGTAACAACAACATTCAAGGATAGTATTTTGGTCGCTGTAAGTTTACTTAATACATAGCATCTTATTTCTGCAATTTAAAAAAAAAAAGTCAAAAAAAAAAAAAATCAAAAAAAAAAATGCCTGGTTCTGATACAGACACTTCCACCGTACAACATGCTCAGCCTTTGGTAGTTTCCGAAGTTATTCCTATTAATTTTAAAATTACTGAGAATAAACTTTGTGGCTCTAACTATCTTGAATGGAGTAAAACTATCAAACGTTATTTACGAAGCATTGAGAAATACACCCACTTAGTTGATGACCCGCCAAAGGAGGAGATTGATAGAGCTGCTAATGCTGTCTGGCTTCGTGATGATTCTAGATTATTTATCCAGATTCAGAACTCCATGGAGAATGACGTCATGGGGTATGTTAGTCATTGTGATACTGTGAAAGAACTCTTTGATTATTTGGAATTTATGTATTCTGGCAAAGGTAATCTTAACCACATCTATGAGGTCTGCAAAGCCTTTTACAGGGCAGAAATGAAAGATAAGCTTCTCACAGCTTATTTTATGGATTTCAAGAAAACGTATGAAGAACTTAATACCTTAATGCCCTTTAGTCCTGATATCAAAATGCAGCAGAAACAACGCGAACAAATGGCAGTCATGAGCTTTTTGGCCGGTCTTACGTCTGATTTTGAAACAGCCAATTCACATATCCTATCTAGTGATGTGGTATCTTCTCTTCAAGATGCTTTCAGTAGAGTGCTTCGCACTGACACTTCATCCACATCATCGGCACCTCAGCCAAGCAATGCTTTTGTAGGGCAAGTCCCAACATTCCCCAATGGAGGTGAGAAGTGGCCACGCACAGGACCGATTGGCAAAGGAGTAGTATGCAACTACTGTAAGAAACCCGGACACTTGATCAAAGATTGTCGAAAGCTAAAGTTCAAAAATCAAGGAAATCAAGTCGCTCACATTGCTTCCGCTACACAGCCATCTAATGGATCCATCATTATGTCTTCGGAGGAATATGCCAAATTCCTAGGTTACCAGGAGGCTCTAAAGCATTCATCTACTCCTATCTCAGCTGTAGCTAATTCAGGTAATCCAAACACATGTCTTGTATCTTCATCCTCAAAATGGGTTATCGATTCAGGAGCAACAGATCATATGACAGGTAATCCTAGTGTTTTTTCCTCATTCCACACACCTCTTCATACTTCTAGTGTGACTTTGGCTGACGGATCTACGTCACCCGTTCTTGGTACGGGTACAATTGTCCCAACATCTACCTTACCTTTGTCACCCGTCCTAAGTCTTCCAAATTTTGCTTTCAATTTGATTTCGATCAGCAAAATCACACGTAAACTTAATTGTTCCGTAACCTTTTTTCCTGGATATTGTGTATTTCAGGATCTGTTGACGAATCAGGTTATTGGTAAAGGATATGAGTCGGCCGGTCTCTATCTCTTGGATACATCCTTACCCAAATCAATCTCTTGTCTTGGCATTGGAACTGTGTTAGAGGCTCACTATCGACTAGGTCACCCTTCTCTTCCGTTGTTAAAGAAGCTTTATCCTCAATTCAATAAGGTGTCATCTTTACAGTGTGATTCGTGTCAATTTGCAAAACATCATCGAAGTAGTCTAAGTCCTCGAGTCAATAAACGAGCACATGCTCCTTTTGAACTGGTTCATTCTGATGTTTGGGGTGCTTGCCCTGTTGTGTCCAAATCTGGTTTTAAATATTTTGTTACCTTTGTTGATGATTATTCTCGTATGACTTGGATTTATTTCATGAAACGTCGTTCCGAGTTATTTTCTCATTTTTGTGCCTTTTGTGCTGAAATCAAAACTCAATTTAATGTACATGTTCGTATTTTAAGGGGAGACAATGCTCAAGAGTATTTGTCTGCCTCATTTAAGTTGTATATGGCTCAACATGGCATAATTCATCAAACTTCATGTGTAGACACACCTCCCCAAAATGGAGTTGCTGAACGAAAGAACAGACATCTATTAGAAACTGCGCGGGCTCTTCTATTCCAAATGAATGTGCCAAAACATTTTTGGGCAGATGCTGTGTCTACCGCATGTTTTTTGATCAATCGAATGCCATCTACTGTTTTAGATGGTAAAACTCCATATCAGTGCCTATTTCCAAATAATGAAAATTTTCCTATTCCTCCTAAAGTTTTTGGTTGCACTTGTTTTGTACGAGATGTTAATCCCCATTTAACAAAGTTAGATCCCAAGTCATTAAAGTGCATTTTCTTAGGCTACTCTCGAGTTCAAAAGGGGTACAGATGTTTTTCCCCAAGTACAGGTCGGTATATTGTTTCAATTGATGTCTCCTTTTATGAAAATACACCATTTTCATCAACAGACACAAATATCTGTAGGGAGAATGATGATATACTCATT